ACTGCATATCTGCTGACCCAAATGGAAGCGAATAAATATAAGAAACTATAATTGAAGATGTGTTAAGTCCACTCTAAGTGTTCACTCATAAGTTTGGAGTGTAAACCTTCACAATGTAATGTGAGAAGGTTGTGATCCTTCTGCGCGTAAAGCAGAAGATTCCCTGAAGGTTTAACAGCGGTCACTTTCCCTCTGGCACAGCGGAGGGAAGGAGGGCAGGGATGTGCCTCAGTTTCTGTCTTCTTTATTGCACATGCGGAATTCCTGATCACTTTGTTTTTTCATTTGGGAAAAGTAAAGTGTCGCTGCAGACGCGCTGGTAGGGAGCAAAGGCGCCTGCTGTGAATCCTGAACAAACCCTGGAGAACACGTTCTCCCGCCCTGCTGAAGTAGACAGCCATCACTTCCATAACTTTCTTTTACATTTTTTGCGACCTGAACCGATTGAACGATCACCAGTTCGACATGGCGTCTCTTTATCAGAGATTCGGGGGTCAGATCAACACCAACAAATCCTTCCCCAACCCACCGGAGGCGAGTCAGGTCCTCGGACAGGCCGGAGATCAGGGAGACCGGGCGGCGGGGATCCAGAAAGCCCGGCTTCAGCCCCGCCGCCGCTGCTGCGAGGACGAAGCTGTAAGAAACTTCTTATGTTAAACCCCTGAAGCTTTTAAAACAAGCAGCATCAAACGTTTCTGTTCTACTGCAGTCACATTAACTAAGTCTGATGGAGTCCTTTGCATGACTTTATGGTAAACTTGTCATCGCATCAATTGGCTGGATTGTCTGTCAATAGGTGACGCGTCAGTTACGTCTGGATGTGTGGAGCTGTGTGTTCTCTTCGCATATCAATTATTTTGGCGCACTGATATAAAAAATATGGTATGCTACTTTTTGTGTGTTGAAATCTAAGTATTCTTAATGTAAATGAACTAACTTCAATTCAGGGTAACGTCCTAAACACTCATATCAATTACTTTCTTTTTTATCTAATGGCTTAATTCTGACTTTATACCTAAAATAGGGGGAAACTGTTTCAAAGAAAGTATTATCCATCATAAAGGGCTCCTAAATACTGCCTACACGTAGACCTGTTTTCATAAGAAAAACAATCAGCACTTGGACAGCGCCTTACATTTCCCTGAGACCAGACTGGCGCTGTCCAAGGTTCTGAAAGCAGTAAAGACAAACATAGGTTGAAATTTAGCCCTTTCTAAGCTTAACATTAAGCACAATAACTGAATATAAGCTTCAAGTGAGGTCTTCTCTCCTCTTTTTTACAGACATTGCATGCCTCCATTTTGCACCAATGTAATTAGACTATTGTTACAACAGTTATGGGGGTAAAGAGATATACCAATAAAATACCTTTCATGTAATCCAACTCTAAATTATTGTCAGTGACTCTGTGATGAACTCTTGAAAGTGATTCAACCCACCTTTCACACAATGAGCCACCAACAACATGGATTCACTACTGGTTAATGATAATAATAAATGAAACATGATAATATATATAGAATAGAACTATCTTTTATTGTCCCACAGTAGGGAAACCTAGCTGTTTGCATTATAGATTGTATACATATTTTTGTAGATATATTTGTTGTTGTTTTTTTCTTACACATATTCTAGAAGTAACAGGCAAATTACTAGAAATTATATTTACAAAGACTGTTTTTTTTCTCCCCTATTTTGTTTTTTTTATTCCCATCTGTGCCATTTGACCCTTCTTTAGGGCAATGGAACATGAACACAGATTAAATGTAAGCTCAACAAATACTTGCAAGCTAAAATGATGGATAGTTATTGAGGACATAAGTAAGAAATGTAATCCTTTTAGTTTTCTCTTTTTTGTACATGTATTGTAAGCACTGCATCACAGCTCGGGAAATCTGTGTTTAAAGCTTCCACTAGCTGCTGTTTTGCAAATCAGTTACAGACTCTCAATCTCAGCCAAAGACCAAAACAAAGAGGACAAAATATAATAACACTGAACTATAATCTCCATTTGTTTTTCTTGTTTATATGCAAGCCAGTGTTGGTTCTGTCTTTGCAGAAAGGTAGGACATAAGTGTAAAACTTTCCAGGAAGACTTGGGGTTTGACCTTTTTAAAATAGGAGGGAGCAAGAATGGATTCAAAACAGGATTCAACTTTTACTATGTTTACTTACTGTCATTAGCACTGCACTACAGCTAGCTTACACGGGGAATTAAAAAAGCAACGGTCATGTCAGACTTGGGTTGTTTTTGTTAATACATAGTTATTAAACGATATGGGATTGAGTATAGATACTAAGTTTATCCCAAAACACCAGTTTCCTACACATTAGTGATTTACTACCTATGCTGGATACATTTTGAGTCTGTTTAGCCTCATCCCCTACAATATGTGCAAGATTCCATATTAACTATGTCTTTTGTTTGACAAATTCAGAGCCAGTACTTGATCATATTCTGTAACGGTACGGGGTATTTAAACTCAGGGATCAAATTTCTTTTCACCAAATCAAGATTTTCAGAGACACATTACATTATTAGAAATTTGACCTCTGGAAATTTTCATTAATGCACATCTGTAGCTGTATACGTTTTAGCAGAAGAAATATTAACAAAGAGTATGGTTACTTTAAGATTTAGACCAAATATGTATACCGTTCTCCTATGTTTTTAAACATTTAGAACAAAATCACAAATTTGATTTAGTAAAAAACAGCTTTAAAATATATACAGTAGAAACAAACTTTTGGTCTCATTTACTTAAGTCAGAATACAGAGTAATACAGAATACAGAGTCGATTAACTTTCAAGGAAGTATGGCCTCACCCATCTCTTATTAATGTGGGAGGAATTTTGAAAAAATAAAATCTATTTTTTAAGGGAAAATATCTCAATCAAGTTCTAGAATGTAAACACAATTAAGTCTCCTCAATTACTGTTTCATTTATTTTATTTTATCTTCCTGGACCGACCTCCATGTTTTAAGATATCTTAGATGTTGTTCAAACCTTAACATGAGTCTGTGCTGTTGATGCCAGCGGGTTATGATGCTCACTGCAAAGCTCTATTGAAGGGTGCAGGAGGTAAAACACTGGTTGAGGTGTGCATGAATTTAACATGAGCTTGATTTATTGACCGGCGGTCTTGTCTTTGTGTTTGTTGGTGCAGAGAACTTCAACATGATCTGAGATCAATACAAACAGAGATGTGTAATCCATATGGGTGAGCTCGGGAGTGTGATCGGGAGCTGGGTGGTGCTACAGTGAAAAAACAGACTGTTTTTGAAGATAGCTGTTTGTGCAGTGATGATCACAGGATGTATTCATGAATCTGAAATCCAGGTGTGAATTTCTTTGAGCTTTTAGGTTGCTTTAATCAATGAATACTTCTATGATCCCTCTTCTCACAGTGTTTGATCTCAGTCCAAGCCTCGGCTTCTCTCCACCCTTTAGGCCCTAATGAGTATGTGCAGAGGTGACATTTACATCATGCTGTGTGAATCGGAACCACGGCCCTCTGAGATAAAGAGCCCAGTGGACAGAGTCGTGTCACATCTTTATTCATTGTTTTTACAGAGGGTCACTCTAAGATCAGGACCAGCCAGGGCAACGCAGAAGGTCAAAGATCACAGTTCTGGTGATTTGAGATGTTTTACTAAAGGGAACTAGGCAGATCTACTGACTTAGGCTTTGAAGCATGACTTTTTAAAGCTGTGGTAAAAGTCCACTCCAGAGTACTTTTTAGATAATTAAAATCATTTAACAGATACTTGTTACACGTGCTGTAACTTTGATAAAAAAGTAGATAATATATATATTTATACTGTATATCCTTGGAGAGCTGCATGGTCTTTCACTGATGCCTTGCATAAAGAAGGTCCTGCATTCATGTACTATAAAAGTGTGTTCCCTCTGGATACTCCAGCTCCCTTCCACATTAAAAAATACTGTTACATTAATTGGTGACATTGAGTTGCCCTTAAGTGTGAGTGTGTGTGGCGTGGTTGTGTGGCTCAGTGTTGTCCTTCAGTGAACTGCTCTAGATAGACCTCTGTGAAAATGGATTGATAATAATGAGCTTTATGACTTTATGAATAGTAAGATACCGAGGTGGGCAGTAACAACGTGCATTTATTGAGTAACTTTCAGGAGTCATTTTTAAAACATACTTTTTATTCTTACTGGAGTAAAATTTCTGAATACTCCATCCATTGTGAGTAACTTTACGTAATGAGAACAAGCTTTATTAACAAAATTCACCATTAAGGGAAACACTTTCTTCTAGTCTTCTAACTCAAGCCTTATTGGTTGAGTGAATTCTTTAACCTCTCAAAACCCACCCGATCACCGGCGACCGTTTTCATTGTGTTTACAACTAAAAACTCAGAATGAATGAAAATTACAACAGGAAAACATTTACCAATATAGACATGTTGGACATCGTTGGAAAGTTTAAATTCTCCACAATTCAACCACCAAGTTTATTTTATGGAAACAGCGAGCACTGAAGCACAATTAACACAGAAGTGCTGGCATGTCAAATTGTAAACATTATAAAGCAGCCACAAAAACATATCTTTGAAGGCGTCCAGAAGCTGTTTTCTAAATCCAGTCTTCAATTGTTTATACTCCATTCGTCCATAAGGGTCCACTGATTAAATGTAATACATAATATTCATAATAAAGATATTCCATGATGAGAAAATCTCCATATAACATCTGTTTTTTGACATCAGAAAAGTTACAGTAGTTGGTCATAACTATTCTTTAGCATCTTGCTAATATGACTTTTTTCCTCAAACATTTTTCTGTGATGTTTGGTATGTTTCTTTACTTCATCTTGTTACCTACAAGACAAAAGTGTCTCCATCTGTGTATGACTCAGTTTTAGTCAGGGACAGCCTTGGTTTTAATAGAAGTGGTGCTACTCTTCTTTAAGTACAATTTGTGAGTACTTTTCCCGTCTCTGGTTAGATATCCGATTTAACAGGACAAATTACAACTGTTGGTCCCTCCGCACATTTATGTAGTTCCCGTAGAAACATTTTGGGATTTTTATTATTGCAGCAGCATGATCTCGCACTAATAAAGCTTCTTTATCTACCAGTCTGTCTCTCTGCATAGTATCTGGCACCCTAATATGCAGAAACTTTGAAAACTCCCCTGTTTTCATTAAATGTATCACTAATAGCTTCTATTTTTGGTCCAATAAAAGCATCAGATCTCACGTTCTGCACTTTGGTGAAACTTTTTCAAGGCTATCAAAAAGCTGATAAAGATTAGGGACATAATGCTTTAATCCATAAATGGGGATTATCTTGTAAATCCTTTATTTTCTGTTGAATCAAAACCACCGAATCTATAAAAGACCTTCCAGCATATTCTTCTATTCTATGTTGGTAAAATAAGATTAAAATGGGTCAGATGTCAAAGGAATACAGGAAATGTTATTATCCTGTAAAATAAATAAATAAATTCTGCTCAGTGTTTCCTAGAGGTGAATGTTAGACATACAGTAAATGCTAGTTTATTCTGTGCTATCAACTTCAAGGACATGTCATCAGTGTGTTTTTTTTATCATACAGAAAGTTCACATTAGTATGGATGTATTCCATAGCTTATACAAGCCACTGTTT